ATGTGTGTCGCACACAGGAACCCTGGGGTGTTACAGGAAAAACAGATATGGGGAAAGGGAAGCCATGTGTATCGTATACAGTACAAGGGGTAAATTGCACATATTAAAATATTATTTTCTCCATGAAATGCACTGGTTTGCATTTTATGCTTACACTAGATCATGCTAACGCTAACCATTTCTGCCCACTTCTAAACTGAAGAGCTTCTAACAAATACTTCTAGCAAATAAGAAGAGTGGAAAGTAAACATTTTACTTATGTAAAGCTAGAAATTACAACACATTCCATGTGTGGTTGAATGAAAAACTGGAGGTGGTTGTAATCTCTCTCCATCTTTTGGGGAAAGGGTACTTTACACATACATAATAGATGATAATAGGATGAGACTACATTTTAAATTTACTGAGGCCTAAATGATGACTTGTGGTTTTGTGTAATGATTAGTTAACATATTACGTTAATAAGTATTTGTGTTAATTATTTTAAAAATGTACCCGTCCAGAATTTATTTGCAAATATTTACAAATACAATATAATATATAGTTACTATATATGCTATTGATAGCATTAAATACCATTTTGTTATCCGTTTTGACAAGATTCCCATATGGTCTAGCGGTTAGGATTCCTGGTTTTCACCCAGGCGGCCCGGGTTCGACTCCCGGTATGGGAATATACGTTTTCCTTCTTTAACTGGGTCATTTTGTAAAATGTCTGTAAACGTGCTTGACACCAGTAAAGACCAGTACATACAAATGTAAAAAGAAATAACCCCTTCAATATTTATCTAAACCGCTTTGAGAGTAATTTTTGTCAGACAGCGAATGCGCTACGTATGTAATATATTTTCAGCCGTTACGTCTCTTTGTCGCTGTTTGACCTTTTTCCTTTCAAAGCGATGCCTTCAAGTAGCGTTCGTTTTTAACATTGCTGTTGAGAAACGTCCTCCATAGCGTCCTACATACGTCTACATCGTAGACGTATACACAGCATAAATTGCACATCATACACTGATTCTTAAAGCATAAATTGCACATCATACACTGATTATAATGTAGTTAAAGATGGTTTAAAATACAATGGAATACTTTGCTGAACATAGATACTTTTACATCCTTATAGTAGTCTGTGGACATTTATATGATTTTCATTGAATCACTTTATTCTGAATAATTAAAGTGTATGTATCTTATATTGGTCTTTCCTCTGATATTATTAGGATAAGAAGCCTTTGTCTTTTTGGTATTGGTATGTATCTCCTGTTACAGCCAAATATACTTAAATATTGCCTTGTAAAAGTATTAAAATGTTTCATATTTTAAAAGTAGACTATTACAGAAGATAGAATGAAACCTGTAGTTCAGTGGATTGCAAACCAAGAAATCTTCCAGTATGGGATCATAAAGAGCTAACTTTTGTATAATTCCTACTCATTTTATTTTACAATGTAATATTTTATTAATTGATCCTACAGAAAACAAATTTGTCACAAGGTTTTAATTAATTTATCAAAAATAAATAAGCAAACAAATCAACCATAAACATGATGCCTCCATACATAGTCAGAAGTACATAGAGTAGGTTGCCATCACCTGCATTATACATCCTTGTTCATTTAACCATTTAAATGATATTTGAAATTTAAGCTTCAGACTGCTGACTGTTGTGACAATAGATTCAGTAGTATAGACAGTATAGTCTTCTTAACATTTGTGCAGTAAGAAAATTTAAAAAGAAACATTTGAATAATTTGATTCCATCCATTCACTGAAAAATGTGATTATCTTTCAAATTACAGAAGGTAAAATGATAAAGAAAGAGGGTCTTTCTATTTCACTAATTCAAAAACCAATTGTTGACTATTGAGTTGCAGTGACAGCATCTTCACGAGGCTCAAGGCCATTACAAATGAAGCAAGCTTTACTGCTGAAGGCGAATAAGCAAACGGATAAATTGTATCGTACAAAACACATTTTCAGACTTTTTTTTAAAAGAAAAGTTCAAGTGCATTGAGAGCGTCACTCTCCATCTGTGTCGGATTGTTATCCACAGCCTGCCAAATAAACTCGTCCATAAAGCTTCCAGTGTTGTCATCGTTCACACAAGCGCTGGTTTCTACCACCCCACCACCAACACCGTTGACTTTACTGTCCGCCTGGCTGCCTCCATCTTGTCCTTTTGCGAGCATCTCTATGTAACCGGAGCTGTCAGGTGACAGATTGCTGGCTGTCGTGGCCGGTGAGAGCAGGTCCAAGAGGATGTCGTCGCAGGTGGAGCCGTCGAACGTGCTGGAGGTAACCGAGTTTGGAGAACCCAGGATGGTGCTGTCTGGCCGGAGTTTTGTGGCTCCCTGGTGACCCAACAGCTCATTTAGCTTAGCCAGCTTCTTCTTCTGTGATTTGAGTTTCTTCATCAGCTTGTACCTGAGCATTTCAGTTTCACTCAGACCTGGAGGGAGCTGTGAGGGCGGTTTCTTGGACAGGGAGACTTTGAGGTGTTTGTCTGCTGTAGGTGTGAGGAATGGTTGTTTAGTGAGAGGAGCAACGGGCTGAATCAGCACAGATTTGTTAGTATGTACAGCTGTGGGCAGTTGTGAAGGACACAACAACGTTACGTTTGTGGTGGCAAATCCACCGTACATGGTTGCAGCTTTAAGTGGGAAACTATCGGTGTGTTCTGTCCTGAGCTGTGGGGTTGGTACTGGTTTTGTAGGGATCTGCCACGTTTTCACAGGGTTAGGGGTAGAGTGAACAGGAGGGGGGTTTATTTTTGTGATTGGGGTGGGTGGTGGGAGGTTTCTGCTTTCAAGTGACATCTGAACATGTTTTATGGGGCTTCTGCTGGGCATTAATGACAAGTGAGTATTTTGATTTAAACTTGAAGGGGTTTCCTGCTCAGTGTTTGTATGTCCAACAGATAGACTTTCATCCTGCACCGCTGCAACCTCTGGATTGGAGTCGACCACTCCTTCAGATGCAGCAGATGCATCTGGTGAAATTTGAGGTTCTGCACTAGATGACGCTGCTTTTTTCCTCGTATTAACAACTCTGCCTCTGCCAGCACCTCTGCCCCTTCCTCGAGCTCCACCTCTACCTGCCCCCCTTCCCTTGCCTCTGCCTCTACTCTTGGCAGCAGGGGGCACAAAGGTTGTTGAGTCGCCGTCGCCGTTGGTTTCCAAAGAGAGGGTAATTTGAGGATCAACCTTGGGGCTCTGACACATTTCATGACATGGTACAGCAGAAGAGCTATCTGGAGTTACTAAATCAGGGGTTTCCTTCTCCATTGGATCATTTAAAACATTTGTGTAGTTGCCATCATCTGCTGGTGTCTCTTCTAAGTCTGGTCTAACCTCCACCAGTGTGAGTGTAATTATATCTGTGTGGCTGAGGCCTTCAAACGTGTCCAACAGTGTTGTGGAGCCAATAGACATATCAGTTGTGTCCATGTTGCTGTGTTTTTCAGTTTCTGCGAGCGCACAGAAAATGGCAGTGTCGTTATGTGGAAGAGCGAGAGACTGATCTGGAGAGCAGGTCACAGTTTCATCTGCTGCCGAGGCTTTTTGGGTTTGACAGGGAGATGCATTTGGGCTTGTGAGACAGGTAGAAGCCGAAGACTTAAAGAATGTACTGGAGGGAGAACACACAAGAGGCTTGTTTTCTTCATCCACTTCCCAAAAAATGATGTGCATCTCCTCGGCAGGAACAGGGAGATTCTGATGCTTCACACAGACCGGATGTTTTAAGTCATCATATTCCAGCCAGTATCCTGTGAAGAGTAGGTTCAAATAACAAGAAGTTATTGAGTAGTAAGCTTCACTGCGTTAATATCATATCTATCAGTTCTGATATTATGATGGCGTCAGAACTGGAAAACATTGGAGAACACGTCTTATGTAAATGTATCTAATCTTCAAAATGAAACATAACATTATATCAGCATACCGATACTTTCTTACAACCCAAAAAAAACAAAACACAGATTATATGTAAAAAACTTACAAAAAGTTTAAAAATAAACACATCAACAACAGGCAGTCTACATCTGGAGGCTTTCAAATTGTCCAGCAGAATGTGCTGTTGAGATGCAATGCAAAGTGACAGTGGAAAAATGTGGCTGCAAATGCTGGGTTTTAAGATTATACGTAAGTATAAAACTATTCAAGTGAACTTCAAACCATATGACAATGTCATATGGTGTCAATGTGTGTATGCTATGATTTTGTTTGTGTGTGTGTGTGTGCCACATCAATGTGTCCTATATGTCCTAAGAAACAGAGCTGGTTGTTAACAGCTGTAATTAAACCTGCAGCATGAGCAGGTGGGTGGAGCTGGTTTTACAAGCAAACATGAGCAGGTTAGTTAATCTAGTATGAAAAAGTCAGGTTTGTGCAGACACACCAGGCTCATGTGTCTGAACTGGGAAATGAGGGTCCAGTGTCACAGAGCATTTGAATGTAATTTATCATGAGAAAACACAATGAGGGAAGAATAGTAAATTTAATTGGGTATAATTTAATATGTTTTTAGTGAATTCGTTGTTTTTATTACTGTTGACTGATAAAGTCACTGATATTATAGAACAAATCAATTTGATCAAATATATATATATACACATGTATATATACTTCCAAACCCTGGTGCTGACTATTTTTGCTGGTATCTCATTGGTTAGCCTCCGACATTGTTGAAGGCCTTCTTTTGATGTATTTCTCTGATGTTACCCAGCTGCAGAGCAGGTTAGGCGTGTAGCATTCATACGGCACGCCAATTTACCTCAGCCGCCCGACATCATAGCACTGGCCTCGGGCAGACAGTATATCTTTTACGTCTCATTAAAAACAGGTAATGAAATCTAACCTTTACACAAGGGTTTTGAGGGACCTACCATCAGTGTGATGAACCCAGGTGACAAAGTGGTGGAGTTTGTGTTTGTACTGGATGACGTTGGTGATCGAGTACCGTTTCCCTTCAAAGTCAAAGGTGTAGAGTTTAACATCATTGTCAGGAAGTCCCTCTACAAAATGCAGCATAAAGACCGGAGGCACACTGAGGAAGACAAAGCAGAGGTCTCGTTAGAAGGACGTCCAATGCTGCTACACTGACACAAACAGACACATGCGACGCTTACGGATACGTTGGGCTTATTTACCCAATCGTAAGTTATGTTATAAAACTAATTAAGTAACTTGAAATTGTTGTAACATCTAAGAACCTGCCTGTACTCCCCATGTTCTTTCTTTTGTGGCAGGCATGTCCAGGACAATAGTAGAGGAGCAGATGTGAGTGAGAAGTGAGTGGGTGGATTTTGGGAATCCCCCTGCCCCACCTCAGCATCGCTCTGATACCCCTCATACCATGTGCCTGACAAATACCTACGTCCACTAACATCATTAAAGGAGGGCAAACTAAACTATATGCATAGCAAAGTTTAGCCTTTGTGTTCTACACCTTATTTCATCCGAATACTTCCAGGGATTTGTAATGATATTTAATTCATCTGAGCTGCAGAGGTTGAGACATGAGTTTCCTGTCATTGTTCCTGCTGGATTCTGGAATTTGCTGCAGATCATTTTCTTGTTGCTGAAGGCAACTTCCTCAGTTTCTCACTAGACTGACTGTAGGGCATCTGCATCCATATTTCTAACCTGTAGCTGGTGCTGTTTAGTCTAATGCTGTGCCACTGGTTCCAATTGTACCAAGTACAACACTTCCACCATTGTCATATTTAATGAGTTAAAAAAAAATTAAAGATGTACAATTTGAATGCATTTTAAAGTAAGGTGTCTTTTCATCAACACCTTAAAATACCATCCTAACCCTCAGCATGCATTTGTGTGGGCTAATAATAATCCCATAACTTCAGTCACAGATAAAAATAGATATTAAACACATCTATCTAGTGTTATTTGTCCCTTTTGTGTTCTTGATATATCTTGAATAATCCTGACTAATCCGAAGCCAGTGAAGTGACAATAAATATGACTCATTTGAGAAACCAAATGTTTGTTGACAAAGTGAAAAGTTCAATTGTTTCTCACTTCTCCAGTATCATTGTCCTCCTCTGCCTCTTTTTGTAGCAGGCGTTGCAGGGAGCCAGATGAGCAGCGTGAAGTGGGTGCCAGTCAGACATAATATTGGTGAAGGAGGGAAGAGTTTTCACATGCCTGAAAAGTAAAGATGAGGCTTTTCAAATGTGGTTTCACTGAATGTTACTGTAACAGTACTTGTTTACTTTCTATACCATTCATTACAGAACATTTAGTACAAATACATACCTGTACCAAACAATATTAAATAACAAGTGTGTAACCATGAAACCAAAGCGCTTCGAGGGGAACCATTGAAATACGGATAGGAACAAAGTCCAACTTTGCTTCTAGTTGCTTCCAGCAATATTTCATTAATCAGAAGTTAGCACAAAAGAGCCTTGTATAGTGAATTGAAGTGCTTGGTGTACTCTAACAGCAAGAGACTCTGTGAAAGACTTCTCCAGGTCCACACTGATGCGCTTGTGTTCTTCCATGCAAATCAGGATCTAAAAAGAACCGGGTTACAAGCTCTTGCACACAGAGAGTCACAATATTTTCTTTTGCACTTTACCTATATACAGACACATTTACAACAAAATACAAGACACTTTTATGAACTTTGTTCCTTCTGGCAAAAGTTCTGAGAGTGAACTGAATCACAAAAGCACATTGGAATTGTGGAAAAGGGTTTTAAAATGCTTCGTACACTTTTGCCAAACACAGGATAACAGCTACATTTGCCATAAACTCTACCTCAAAAATAAAGGTATTCATCAAGCAATTTCAACCCCTACCTTTGACTTGTAGCAGCTCTGCATTCACTGCACTTAAACTCCCAGTCAAATGTTGATTGGAAGAGAGGCTCTGCCCACGAGTCCATTGCAAGCAGAAGGGGAATGGCAAACACTGGAGTTTCCCTCTGGCCTAAAATACACATACAAGCTAGAGTGTAATTACTGATATCAATTCTGTACCTGCAGTGTTTTTCCATGTCATGCCACAGGGTAACAGCTTTCCTGACTTTTATACAAAGATTTGACTGCAACAAGCTGAGGTAAACACAGGCATGCTAAGACCTGCAACTTTCTGGTTTTATTGTGTGAGACAAATTGGTTTGAAATATCAAATAATCAGAAATTAAGATGCACTGAATTTCCAGCCACCGAAAATGATCAAAGACTATTATCACCAAAACAAGCAGGCCGAAACAGAAAGTTATGATGACGCACGCAAAAACCGCAACCAGCGCGGGCTCGTCTGAAAGCCAACATTTCTGCGGTGTGGACATATTTTAGTATATCTGAGAAAGACCCACGGATAGAGATTTGCAAAACGTAATGCTGAAATATTGAGAGGGGGTAAAAAGTACACTCATAGAGTCTGTCAGCACATGTTTCACTGAGATCTATCCAGATCCCTTGTACTTGTCATGACTGTACTTGGAGACGGAGAAGCTTACAGGAGAAGGAGTGCAGTGTGCCAGATGAGGCGCAGGCATCCTTGTTGTCTGATATGTTTTGTGAGATGCTAAAACAGTATAACTATATGACTATCAGTCGATTTTATTTCTCTGCTAGACATTTGACAATTAATTATTCAATTATTAATTTATCTTTTATTTATTATTAATTTATGCAATCGCAGTGCCTTGTTTTATTGAGATCTAGTACACAGTCATAGCCTTTAATGCAATGGTACTAATAATTGGCATAATTTCTTTCAGTTTTTCAGCCTTGGTTTCCACATTTTGGGTTTTCGGTTTAATTTCGGTACATCACTAATTAACACAATAAATGTTAAACACAGTGTGATAGTGAACATTTGTACTGGTTTAAAATATTTAAACCAATCAAATGTAAAATACAAGATATGCATTGAGGTGGACAAAGCATCGCATTCAAGATTTGATAAAGGTTCAATTGTGAATCTAACATTTGAAACAACTTAAAACATATATGGTTCTAGGCTTCTTCCTCTACTTACCCAGCTGGCAGTGCAGCTTTGTCTGGAGAAGCTTGAAGATCGACATCCTGAGATTTTGCAGATCTGCACGGGCTTTTTGCAGCACATGGTTCGGCACCTGCACCACGCCATCTACAGGAAAGATCTAGATCAGTTAGCTGCACAATCATGTTTAACTATTATAATTTGGCTTTTATAACATGTAATGTATAATGTGCTTTAGTTTGAGTGAGCGCCTACATTTGCTACAAACCACACAACAAACCATGTGCTGTGGACGAACCACGAAAGAAGACTGACTACAATTGCAAGGTGTCGGAAAGAAATTAGATGGTATATTACATCAGCAGTTCATGATGAAGTTAAATGGACCTGGATGACTGAGAACCTACACGTACATGTTAAATGCATTTGTAGAAAAAGAAAAACATCCAACCCAAATGTCTCTTGCAGAGTATTAGAGTAAAAAAAATACTAAATATAGGATGTGAAGGCTGTAAAATCATCATTAACTCACCTCTACCAGTCTGATGATGGGCTTCAACGGCAGCACAGATCGCTTCATATCTGTTTATAAGCTGCCACACAGACGAGTGTTGAGGCTCATCTTTAGGTTTCCTCCTTCTCAAACTTCTACATTTCACCAAAGCAACAAGCAGAGAGTCCAGCCAACAGAGGTTGTCTGCATTCCACCAGAAAATCTTATCTGGAACAGACACAAGCTCCTCTGAGATGGCCGCCGATGGAGAAGAAAACTCCTCCGTATTAGACTTAATCCCATCTTTGTTCTCACATGTGGGGAGTGTACAGGTTTGTGATTTCTGCTTGTCTTGTACGTACGGTTCAATGAGCGGAGGTGATGGCCCATTGATCTCAACTGAATGAATGTGCTTGTATGATTCAAGCCTAGAGTCATCGTTCATGACTGACACACCAAGAGTGCCACAGTGCTGCAAGAGAAGAGGCTCATCACCGTTACTGGTCAACAAGGCTTCTGTTGAGCTCTGTGGGTGTCCATCGGAGGCCGAGGTAGCACTTTCTGTTACTTTCACCAAATCGTGGTGACTTTGTATCGTTTCCTTTTCTGTAACTCCACAATCTAAGATCCTGTCATTACCATTCACTTTCCCACCATCTGTCTCCTGTGCCAAAACTTGCTCATTTCTAATGGCGGCCTGGTTGACAAGTGTTTCCGTAACACTTTCTGTCCTGAAACTGTCGAGTTCATTCAATCGCAGCTGTTTGGGTGAGCGTTTAATCTGCTCTTCTTCATCCTGGGTTTTTTTTCTTTTCTTTCCAACCGCGAGCTCCACGGGAACCAACCTTGCCAAGACATCTTCCAAGGATCGGCTGACCAAAGGGAAAAGGCACTGGGGAAATATAAAAAGACAGTTAAAATAGTAGTGAGAAGAACACTTAAAAGTTACCTTGTGCCACTCACCTGAGGGTTTGTGCAGAGTGTAACGGACTCCTGGAGGTTGATGCGGTAGGAGCGCAGAGAATAGGTCAAGCCCTTTGCAGTACACCAGGGACAGTGCTCAAGTTTTGCTGCCCTTTCTTGAACCTTTTAAAAACACAAAATAACACAAACATAACACAAGTCTAACGTCTAAGAACATTAGTGATGTGGGAAACACAACTTATGATATAAAGCATGTTATTTACCATACCAATACCAGGAGTTTGGATTCTCATGTCAAATACAATCACACCAATATCCAACATATTCACAAACTTTCCAAGTACTTTGGCCTTAACGCCGCAACAAACTTTCGCCTTTTACCAAGATTTCCGTGTTTTCACCAATTTAGATTGGAACTGTCCAGTTACAGTATATATTCAAATGTAATTCAGCTTTGCGCATGTGACAACAGTGAGAGGAGAGCATGAACGCTACTGACTTTTCCCAAATACCCCGCCATTGGTGAGGCCGAAGCCCCCAAATCAGTTTCTTCACCAGTCATTGGCAAACCTCTGCTACTCTTGTGGTCCATGGGTATGTGGTGCCATTCGCAGAATATTACCATGTCACTGCAATCTGGGGCGCTTCTGAAGGAGCTGAGTAAACAGTAAAAGAGACCACATTATTCACTGTCAAGACTATAGGCACTTGGCCTGAACAGTTAATGTTTGACATTTAAGTTATCAGTAAAATAAACATAACAACGCTACAAATACCAATCCTGCAACAACCTACTGGTAGGTAAAGTAAATACATACATACATAAATACATACATATAGTTATGTTTAAAGAAACACTTCTTGAGTTTTTATGTCTGTCATACTAGAGTTATCGCACAAATGTCAAACAAGTAAATCCATCATCATCAAATATCAATCATCAAAGACATTCACAAAAGTGTTGCATTTTTTTTATAAATTACGTTTTTTAACGTTGTCGGCTTTATTATAAAGTTTGCTTAATGTGTTAAGTTAGCATCAAACTTGCTCTTGTTTAGAAGACATACAACATAACATTTGATAGATGCATTTCTTAGGCTTGCAAAACTCGCTAACGAGCTAGCACATGCTAAAACCAGGCGTTAATTTTAGCGTTTTAGACTCACTGTATTCCTCATTATTTTTAAATTCCAATACCTACCGACGCCCAAACAACAATGAAGATGCAATTAAGATTCCGTTATAAAATCAATCAATTAACAACAGAAGCTCCTCGCCGGCTAAGGAACTCCATGTGCATTGCTTTCTCTGGTCGTATCAAAAACGTTCCTCTTCCGATCACCGCCGGGTGTGCAACGGTCTATGACTTCCCCCGTTGTGTTGGTAAAATGGTTCCGTTTTGCCTCAAGTGGTGGCGTGGGTGAACTGCAGAAGTTTGGACTATGGTTATTGTTTCATTTTGGCGCTTGAGTAATTGCATTTGTTTTGTAAATGAAATCAGGGTATAGGAATTGGACATATTCCCGTTAAAAACGCAACATATCCATCTGATGACATTGACAGTACAACATCCAGCTTCATGGAAAAACGTTGAAAAAAATTAAATATAGGTTTCAATTAGAGTTGAAAATCTTAAGAGTAGTAGTGCAGGTAGATGTACTTTACTTCAAAAAAGGATAACAATCATTTTTATCATCATTCATGACCTTGACAGTGGGTTACAAATCACAACAAACATTGTTAAGTGTAATCAACAATGTAACATAAACATTAGATAACAGCATTTTAATGTCCGACATTTTATTTTTGTGGCTCTATTGATCATGCTGTGATTAAAGATAAATTAAATTTATTAAGAAAGGTACTGTATGTATTACATACACGTAAAATAGTGTTGTTATATCAAACCATATTAAATTTATTACAGATAAGAATGAGAGTGGACAGATGGAGTGGGTTACATGAGCCCCTCACCATGGTTTTAGCCCAGCTTTAACACTTCTTGACAACCCCCCAACACACGCTCTCCCACATGCACACACACACGTCCACCCAATCCCACTCCTTGCATGTGCCCCCTCCTTTGAGCCCCTCCTGTATCTGCTGCTCTCCTGTCCTCTATTTTCCTCATGATGACAAAATGAATTTGCATATTTTTCCCATGCAGGGGGCGCTCATTAGAATGCATAAACCGGCAGCCTACAAACATCATGAGCAGGCTATAGCTTTCTGCCTTTGCACCTCCTGCGCATAAGACACACAGGCAGCATCACAGGCAGACGTGGCCTGAGTCTACGTTGTGATTGGCATTTTGAATCAGTTCACCATTCCCATTTTTAATTCGAGGATAAGAATAAACTCTGTCAGCCATTTTCTTTTGTTTCTGTATGAGCCGCTAAGCAGAGGGATGTTTATTGGATACCAATTTCCATATTAAATGTGTGGAAAAATTCTCACTTTGAGGCTCATATAATTATATGATAGCATTTGGTGCGTCTATATGTCTGCAGATCATAATGATAATCAGCATTTGTTTTACTTTAACACCCCACCCCCTTGCAGCTCAATGAACAAGAGAAGGCTTTATTGTCAGATAATTGCATTTCCTTTACTGTCAGCCAAGAAACTGAATCACATTGAAAAAGATCGCCTTTATAAGCAGATATTCTGGTTTTCAAAGCTGAGCTGCTCCTAATTTGAGATTTTCTTCTGTACACACCCAGGAGTTTCACTCATTGTGGTCCAAAACGTGGCAATCTGTAAATCAAAGAAGCATACATCCATCTACTATTACTTCAAACAACACAATAATAATAAAGAGAATCATCTTAAATGAAATATATCAAATTATATATGAATCACACAATCTTTACGTGAGATAATCACGATTTAACGCATGTTTAAAATTAAATTCTTGTGGATTATTTATTTTTAATTTATTTTAATTTACATTAGTCTTGACTCAGTTATGCACTGGCAAGCTCTCAAACTAACTGTAGCAGAAATGAATGAAAAACAAAACAGGGAAAGGTCTAATGATGAGACAGCAGAAAGTTTTCAAAAACTGCCACCAAAACGAAAACTGCATTAAAAGAAAATACCAAAAACCCTAAAATGATTGCACAATACAAATATATAAATAATATTTAAATTATAAAATGAATGTCATTTGTTTTTGTTATATGTGTGACCTTCCCCCAAACACACAAACCTGCTGCAGGTCTTTGTCTTACTTAGTGAAAAAAAAAGGGGGACTGTTCACAGGTGACTGGTGAGGTCCTGCTACCGTCACATGCATCTGACCAGGGGGCAACTGTTAACCTCAAAATTTAATTTTCAATTTTTTTCTTGTTCTACAGCATTAAGTACGTCATAGTTACAGGATCAGATTTTAATAAGAAAGAGATGAAATGGTCATGAACTCAATTTATGGACCTACACATTTAATCTATGTTTATGGCACCTTCCGGAAAAGGATAACACTTAATTCCTTTATACTACCTTGGAGTGCTGTAGAATATACATCTGACAGAGGGAGGGAGAAGTCCAAACCTCACTTGTTAAGAAGGATGAGATTAAACTGTCGGTGTTATTACTGTGTATTATTGACACCATTACCACCACAAATCATAACAACAATAAAAAGGTTCACTCTCTAAGACACAGACACGTGCAGCAGACAAAGCTATAAATTTAACAGGATGTCACTTAAAGATTTTAATCAGATTATAGATGATGACGAGTATAAAATCAATAAACCAACAATAATTAACCATTATAACTGTGTTTGGGGACATCCAAATGTTTAACTATTTATATTTTTTTACTAATTTAATCATTTAAGACTAAATTAATCAGTATATTAGTTTAATTGATTTGAATCTATATTGTGAAAACAGCAAGGCATTAACAGGTTCCCAAAGAGAGGGCTACATGCACTTAAAAATCTTTCAATTTTAATATTTTCTTTTTCTTTTCAAGAATGGGGTAATTGTGCTAACTTTCAATTATATACTTTTAAAAAATCAGAAATTGCAGTTTTGTAGGAATTAGGTGGAGTTTTTAACTGATAGCTGTGAATTGGGAGAGTGGGGATCACAGAAACAGTCCAGTCAACAAAAAGAGATAAGTGTAAATAGGAAAGTAAAATAAATAAAAAAAATAAATAAAGTTGTAGTGACAGGTTAAAGGCAGACCATCTAAAATATTCTAAAAGAATTTAAAAGGATGTGAAGACAGGCATTGTAAGGTGACGATCACTCAACACAGAAACAAACAACTAAGAACACATTCATTCATTTTCCTCTGCCTCATAATCTGTTAGAAGTTGGGAGGGAATTTGAGTTAATCAGAGTAAACTGTGTGGCAAGTGTACTGCAGGGACCAGATAAAGAGGCAAACCTCCATTCGCGCTCAGTCAGACATACATGGCATGGTCAATTTGGGTAAGCCAGTTAAGCTGACACTATGTGACAATGGAGAAACACTGTAGGACACAGAGAAACTGCTCAGTCAGACAACAGGAGACTACAGGAGAAACACTGTAGGACACAGAGAAACCCATACACAACCTGGACAACAACACAGACATTGTAAGACAATGAATAATTATATTTATTTTTTGCTTATGGAGATGAAATATAACTAAATGCATCAAACACACTCTATGGTTAAATAAGAGTAGTACAAAAGTAGAACAAATATTAAATGTATTTGATCTATGATTGCAAATGATATACATACACTATATTCAGACAGTACAATTTACAAGTTAACCTCTATGAGGCACACCAACAAGTTAATGCAGTTTGAATATGGTTGTTATGTAAAGTGGCTATGGTCCACATAGTTACATGCCAGTTTTCTCAATTATCAAATCAAAATAAAATACGAAAAAAGGACCATTGTTGCTGAAATATAGTCTATGTTGCTTTGTTGTTGTCAATCTATTTCATAGTAAAACCCTTTAAAAAGCTGACATCCAGTTAAATATGGGGTGAGCAGCCGCTTCGTGTGCCTTTTACAATATTTAATTAACGATCTCATTTCACATTTTGACGGTTTTTATTAGCAAATAAGCTCGTGTGTGGAAAGCCTTCTGGGGAGAAGGAAGAAGAGAAGAAGACCAGTGCAACGCAGCTAGGCTGTGGTTTACCGCTACCTCGCTCACAGACTACAAGCATCGTCCCATTCATTTAACTCGCCTACTGTAACACTGTGCTGCTCAACGTAGTGAATTCAATACTATGGCAAACACACTACTCTACTACCAGCTCTTGCTGCACGCTGCCCACTAATGTTTTTGTATCCACGCGCCTCTGGAAACTCAAGTGACGTTCCACAAAAGACAGCCAATGGCGACTCGTCTTCTATTAGGACAATGAAAAGCATTCGACCAATGGGATTCACGCTAGACTGGGCGCTGGCCAATGGCGTGACAGCCCCGCCGAGAGTAATGTTAGAGAGCTGAAGACTGAAGACACTGCGTATCGCCTCTGTGTTCCCTCATACACAGCCATTGCGGAGCATTGAGATCCAACGAGAGTCAACGAGAGTCCCACTGGTAAGTATAATGCACAGCAAAATTTTAGGTCTCTGAGAAATAAATTGAACAACTACAATATTTTAAATCAGTTTATGCTCGTGTTTACTAATATACAAGGAAACATTTTTACTCAAGAAAATTTTTTTGTTTTTTTTAATTGGGAAAAACAAGAAATAGCCGGTTGAGAATGGGTAGCGTTACATTACTCAGCCAGTGAGTGAAAAGCAGACGTTGTAAAAAAATGTTGGGAAAATATTAACCTTGAGCAAAATTCGACGAAAAACGTCAATTTACTCGAAAACAAATAATTTACAAAAATACCATGGTAATGTCTTTACAAAATAGAATCGAATGAATTGCTGGTTATCGCGTAAAAATGTAGGAATGTCTAGCGGACAACACGGTTAAGCGACAATGGTAGACTCACCGTTAGCTAAGCATTGGCATTGCAGTGCATTGCGAAGCCGAACGCCTGTCATGTGAAGACTGAGAAGCGGGGTGTTTTGATTTCAGCACAGAATTTACCTGAAAACACGAGAAAAAGATAGGCCGTCACAAAACAAGCACAGACATATGTTTGTTGGTCATATTTACGCCCAACAAAATGGTGTAAAAATTAGCTCACGATCTGCGCTTTACTGTAATGGCTGACTGTATTCGCATAGGAAACAAGGCAGCGAGGTAAATGGGAAGCCAGTGACAGAGGCGCAGTTCACTTCAACTTTTTCTAACCGTGTTTTCTGGGGAAACAAACCCGTAACTGTGATATTTAACGACGTCAAAAGAAAATTCAATCTTTCGTGTTTCCAACGACACCTTTATTACATTTTTCCGATACTCGGAAGACGTTTTAATCGGGCTTTGAAGTGAAGTGGTCGCCTCGGTCGCTCTGCCCTCTATTGCACGCAGTGCAATGGCTGTGCGCTGACACAAAGAGAAGGAGCCATATTCTCTATGTTAGTGGATGAAGACGAGCGGCCATTAGGAGCTCATAGAAACCCAGTCAGTAGCACAGCCCGCTCATAGACACAGCACAGACCCAATGTATTACTATACTAGGCGGCTAGTGCAATAGGAATCAATCGGAGAAATATTTTGTCAAGATCGCCAGCTCTTTAAACATATTTGTCGTGCTGCAAAGCGAACTAGGAGGCGGGAGGAGACATTTGAGGGGGACTTTCTTTCATGAAGAAGGCATTCTCACAAAATGGAAGAAGAAATATTGCCGTCGTTGTTGACCTCTTTTTCTCAACCAGAGCCTACATGCGCCATTACTACTCCGCTCGACGCTTACTCTGAGAGTTCTAGTGGCGTTTAATAGGAAAATATTGCAGAAAAATAAACGATTTTTAACGTTTTTTCCGAGTTTGTTCAATTTTTCCCAGAACAAAGGAATATGATGAGATACATTAGAGCAGTGGTCTTTTTGCACAGAATCCCAGTTTTTTGTTTTATTTTCAATAAAATACGCTATTATGGAATTTGTGTCTTTTTTCTGTAAAAGTAATTTCCGTGATTAAAACATGAACCCAAGTGAAAGGATACCTTTCTGAAAATGATTTTTTCCACTTTTACGTGTTTACAGCGTATATATATGTCATATGTACATAAATATTTTCTTTATTTTCTTTATGAAATTGACATTGAAATTATAATATAATATAACGTTTTTTTCCAGCCTCACGTGAATTGCAATAGCAAAATAAAACCAATAAGTGTTTTTTTCAACATTATTTGTTTTACTGCTGAACTTCGGTAAAAAAATCAGTGTAACATTGGCTGATCACAACTTTAATGGAAAGATCACCTCACATACGGGTTTAACTAATAAAGGAGTTTTAATTAGAAGGAATATATATATATAGTATTAAACAAATTCTTGATGATTTAAAAGTTACACAATACATTTTTTAGTGTTTACTAACATTTAACTATTGAATAATAAACAGTTATTTTGAAGGACATCTCTTTGTTTTAACACATCACTGATAAAACAGCTATTAAATCCATCACTATTAAACACCTCTCGATAACATTAAGTTTTTTTTTTACTTTTATTAGAGCATATGCAAGACTAATTTCTATTTGTCTTCAGATATTGTTGCAAGGATGGGGAAAGATCCCACCAAGCCGAGGGGGAAGATGTCCTCCTATGCCTATTTTGTGCAGACCTGTCGCGAGGAGCACAAGAAGAAACACCCTGATGCTTCGGTCAATTTTTCGGAGTTCTCCAAGAAGTGCTCTGAGCGATGGAGGGTAAGAAGATGTGGACGTACAAAATTAGTTGAATTTATATCTTGGAGATTTTGTGTTATTAGATTATAATATTTAATAATTATTTCTAATAATTGGGGATGAAATTGGTATTTCCTTTAACCAACCGTTCCCTATTTTCACGTACTTTCAACGTACTTTAATGTTTTCAGACAATGTCTGCCAAAGAGAAGACCAAGTTTGAGGACCTTGCCAAGCAAGACAAGGAGCGTTATGACAGAGAGATGATGAACTACACTCCAGTCAAGGGAAAGAAGAAGAAGAAGTTCAAGGACCCCAATGCCCCCAAGAGACCCCCGTATGTGTTGCATTTAAACGTTGAAACATCTACAACAAAAAAGTTAAGTTTTTCTCTTACGTTTGCAAGGCACAGATTAATAACCTTATTTTTTTCCCTTCCCAGATCTGCCTTCTTCATCTTTTGCTCAGATTTTCGTCCTAAGGTGAAGGGCGACAGTCCTGGTTTATCCATTGGAGAAGTTGCCAAGAAGCTGGGTGTGATGTGGAACGGCACCTCCGCTGAGGACAAGCAGCCCTATGAGAAGAAGGCCTCTAAACTGAAGGAGAAATATGAGAAGGTAAGCAGACTGTAACCAATCGTGACGGTTCGATATAAGCTTTCAGCTTTGATATCTGGTCATATCCTACACTGTTTCATTGTGTGGTCTTCTATCCCAGGATGTTGCTGCATATCGTGCCAAGGGCAAAGCCGGTAGTGCCGCACCTGCAAAAGCTCCTGCCAAGATGCAAAAAGATGACGATGATGATGACGACGATGATGAGGAGGACGAGGATGAGGATGATGATGATGATGATGATGACGAGTAATTTGCGAGTGACATATATGTAAAGTGGTCATTTTCTTGTTTATAAAGCATTTAACCCCCTTGTACACTCTTCACTTACTGAAAGATAATACATTAGAACCCAAGGGGTAAAAAAAAAACAACAAAAAAGGCTGTGTATATCAGTTGTTTTTATGCTGTACAGTTTTTTTCTCCTTTTTGTATAGTTAACACTACACAAGTATCGTGTCTGTATCTTTCCGCCAGTCTTATTTTTCCAGTGATAGTTCTTAGACCACTATCTTGCCTGGTACAGTGTAAAGGGGTGGGCTTTCAGTATTTACCCCAGCTAGAGGTGCACAGCACAAAAAATTATTCTGAGTTAGAGCTGAGTGTCTTTTCTTTTTTTTCTCCCTTCTTTTTTGTGTGTTTGTACTTTAAAATGATATCAAGGTTGACGTATCACAATTGTTTTACTGATCTTTATGTACCACTGTAATGGCAAAAATAAAAGAAACGCCTTGTTTATTGTTCAGATTGAAATTGCTTCTGATGTCAATAAACATTTTTTTTTAATCCTGTTTGTGTACAGTTTGTGTACCAATGCTATTTGCCTCATCATCTACAAATCAACAACTACTGCATCATACTAATATCAAAATTGTTAACTTCATAAATACTGCACACAGTTACACAACAAATTCAAGCTATCGAAAGATTAAAAGACTAAAAACAAAATGACCAGAAACAAACAGGACAGTGGAGAAAGTAAACATTTAAGGTCTAAGAGTTAATATCATCGGCAGTTGTTTACATCTGCTGTTAAATTAACAGCTTGGACTATTTTACTCTGTCAACATAACACGACGTTGCCTGGGGATGGTCATAAGCCTGCAGGGCAGTATCTTAATTCAGACGTCAATGATATTAATACCTATATTAACTCATGACCATCACTGTTCACATATGCCCAGTTGTTAATTCTGTTGTTTTCTGCCAATGTGCAGTATGTTGAGGCTTCCTGACAAGGTGGAGAGACGCTGGATGCTGTGACGTCAGCCCTGCCTGACACTGTGCATCACTGACTCCTCCTGTTTTATTTAGATACAGCTGCTTCATCTGATGTACTCACTCTGCTGTATTTATATAAGGATTATGTGCTTTAAAAAACCCCAGTGACATATGACAACGGCTTGTGCATCGGCCCTATAGGAGACACACGTGTACTAGATGTGGTTGTCTCAACAACGCAGTTGGTCCCCAGGGAGAGAGCTTATTCAATCAGTGGTTTCCATCTCTGGGCCTGGGCGTGTGAGAGTATTTGTAGAAATGAGCAGAGCAGCAGCACACGCATGTGTCTGATCTGCGGTGTAAATTACAAGGATAAGTGTACGTCTGTGCTGCATGTTTTCCTGCTCTCTGCACAGATGCTGGCCTTGACCCACAGAATGAGTCCTAACACTGAGTGGGACAGAAGACGTTCCGACACCGGGCTGTGGTTGACCTTTGCACCACTCTGACGAAGCCCACAGAAGGATTCACGACGGTGACGTGGTCTCCAGCCATCCCTGATCAGTCGTCACACTCACTGACAGCAGCTGTTCAAATGTTTGAATGTAAACTCAGCTTATAGCAGAAGAAAACTCCTGACCTTGGATATCACGGATGTGTCGTCTGTAGTTCCTGAATAACAGGAAAGCAGCATGGATTATTGACTGGAGGCAGCCATTCAGTATACAGTTACCACACTATGTGGCAGCTGGAGGCTGCTGTCATGTCTGAGTCTACATTTCCCACTGTTTCTTTTTTTTTGTTTTGTTAGCAAAATGCAGTCACCATCTTTGAAACTACAGTAGACTGAAGGGAGATTACAAAACGGAGAGTTGTTTACACACACATGCGTGGCGTTGGCTTGTCCCTTTTTCCACTGCGGTAGGTCAATATGTGCTGAGTGGGAATTGTGGCGTAAAATTGTGCTGAAACAGTTGCAGCGCCTTGTGGCAGCACTCAGCTGTTGATCAGAGTCTGTGTGAGTCTGAACAGGCCACAACAGCCCGCATACTCTACAGCAGGTTTAGCTACACACAGCGCCACTACTAATCCCAGCCACCTGGTGTCTACTGTGTACGCTCACTGCTCAATCAGTGGCCTTTGGCTGACATCTACCGGTCTGATGCGCAAACTGCAACCCAGCTGCTTATAGGAAAACCCATGGAGGAAGATAAAAAGAAGCAAAACAACTCTTTCCGTCAATTTCCTGCACTTCGTTCTTTGTCTTTTACTAAGACACGAATTATAATAGTTGAGTGAAACTAGTCCCCAAGATGTATTAACGGTGTTTATATATTAATTAGGCAAACAGCCAAAAAAAAAATTACGCTTCACTTAGTGCTACCTTCACCAGGCCAACTTCTAGAATTGGTTTTCGTGCGACCTGTAGCAGGAAAAATGTTTAAAAACGTCATATAAAACACTTGAATTCATACAACGTACAATTTAGTGCAGTTACAAACATAGTGCTGCTAGTCCTTTAATATTTTTTTTCAAAGAGATTCGCGCAAAATTGCATTAAGAAATATTGTATTAGCATTTTGTCAACCCTGAATTCCCCAGTATTTCTTTAAATATGTTGTTTAATTCGTAAGATAAATCCATGTTAGAAAAGAGGTGTATAATTAATGGATTAATTGTGAATGTTAAATTATGGGTTTTCACTTCCCCCATGAATAGTTTAAAGGATGCCACCAGAGTCTGTTAGAAGCTGTTTTGTATTGTAAACATGAATGAAACAAATGCTCTCACTTACAATAATTAAAATTCTTGCAAAAACTACAAACCAAGAAACCAAAAACAAAAGAATATTAGGTTGTTATAGTTGCTATTATAATGTTTAATTTAATTTATATTATTACTTTTTATTAATTTCTTAAAATAAACCAAAATAGATCATGTTGCTACAGTTTAGGTTAGGTGTCGGTGGCATATCTACACGTGCACTGTGATATAGTACACAAACACTGTATATAGTCAGTGTACGTGTGCTTATATAGACCAATCAGGTGCTTCTCCTCAGTACCAGCCCATCTTTGCACCAATCGATGACCTCTTGTTTCCGTAGACCGTGTCCACTACATGCCCTGTTTTGCAAAGACACGGCATATTTGAGAAATGCTTATTGAATCGAATAATAGAAAAATAATTAATTTCTCTACTGATAATTCACAAATTCCTTTGGAAAACGTGCTGCACCACAAGGTGGTGCTCCTGTAAAGGACATGATTGTCTTGCGCTGTATTGTTAACCTCAGGCACAACGTCGTGTCACATTAAAAACATATTATTTTAAATATCTATACGAAATTAACGTCTCTATTTTCTAATTCACAACGTTAAGAACATTGAGCTCATTCATCACCATAGAATCAGCCATTCAAATCATATTAGTCTCGTCCTCTCTATAGAGGCTCCCATGTGTGAGCACCGTCTTCTTACCATAGATACCTTTTTGCAACAAATGCTATAACCTTAGTCCTTTGATGCCTACAGACATCCTGAAGGTAAATTTGATCACGACATTACTGACAGACCATGCCACATTGTCAGAACTGCCTGTGACTCACCTCTCATCATCACAGAGATGAATAACTCGAGTGTGTATGTGCAGACCAGGCCGTGTTTGTGGAACACAGTGGCAGCACGTCTGTGAACAGGGTGTTATGAATGCTTGAGTGGGCCAAGCTATAAATGTTAAAATGGTGTGAAATCAACCATGTCATCCTTCACTCTTGTATCTCATGAGTCATCGTCTCTCTGTGCTTGAGTGTCCTTCACAAGTCGCTCCAGTAGTGATATGGTATTAAAAAACAATGTTAGCTGATTAGCTATTTAATAACACGGCGTGCTCTTTTGGATCATCTGTAAGCTGTACTGAAGGTTCCACACAAACAGAGATTTATTGGTAACACAGTCATGGGGTGGAACATGGCTTTTACTGGTCTGAATAATGTGCAGATGCTGTGCAACATGAACCATTTACCTATATGATGCTGCTGAATCTATCTGTTAGTGTCTATAACAATCTTGGGTGCCGCCACAACTGTCACTCATGAGTCTTGAGTAGAAGAGGAAGGTCACTTCTTGGTAAGAAACTGTGAAGTGGGTTGAGATGAAGCGCAGACAGCAGAGGGCGCCAGAGGTTCACACTGCATTATTTCATGGTGGCTTAAGGAGCAAAAAGCTCATGGAGGCAATTATAATAATCAATAATCAATCAGAAAGAAAGGGCACGGGGTCTCTGCTGATGTTGTAACAATGCACAGGAGCTGTACAAACTGGAAGACCAGTCAGTCATTTTACAAAAATGCGGTTTTGAGCTGTTACTATTAAACATACAGTACATGGCAATGTCTTGTAAGAAACAGGTTCATGTTACAAAGTACCTGGAATGATATTTTGAGCAAAGTTCTAAACTTGATTTATGTCAGACACTACTTCCTTGTCTTTCTTTCCTTTCCTTTTTGACAAGTGTTGACCTCATCACACTCAGGTTAAACTGTTGGATTATATATTCATGTTTTAAATAATATTACAACAGCTTTCTTTGACCTGGTGGTAACCAGTCGAATTTATCGATGTTGAACAAAATAAAATAGTCATATCAACATAATCCACAAGGACTTTTTTTTAAAAAGATTTTTGGATTCTGAATTTAAATATTCAACTCAAAATAAAAGTCATGCTTTTTTATAAGCTATTGGATCATTGAGCACATTACACACAACCACCCATACATTTCATTAGACGCACGTACCTTGGCATAATAAAAACAAGAATTTTCAATAGAGCAATCACACTGTTGATGTGCTTCATTTTAGCAGCCTCATAAATGAAGCCTCCATCATCGGTTCTGATGCCAGTATGACCGGCCCATCAATGGAAATGTCAAATAGTCATCCTGCTATTTTTTGTAATAACCTCCTGTGTGATATATTTGAGTAATGAGGTTGTAATATGGAATCATTTGTTATGGCGTGTGCTGTATTTTATTTTTTTACTTATAGACAACTGGTTGAGTATTCATTTCATTCCCAGCACTTCTTTCTTCTTCTGTGTCGTAAAGCAGCTATCAGTCAATTCCAGATCTTCTTCACTGTGCGCAATTCAATTACGCTTGAATCACTTGTGCACTTTCTTTCTTTCTTTCTTTTTTTTTTAAATCAAATTTGTGAGGTAGCATGTTGGTATACAAACAGACACATCCTCTGTTGACTGTAAGCCAGCGGATTTGAGCTGATGGAAACCACAGCAGGAAGTGAGGCAAAAATAGCAGGAACAAATGCAACCACACCCAATAGTTGCCTAAGCCGAAGAGATGTAGCACAACTAGTTTGAAAATATGTGCATTTTCAAAGTTCATGCTTTTTTTTTTTTAGCCTGTAATGGGGGCAATACATGAGGTGCGAAAATAATCATGACTTTCTATGTGTGCATGTACCCTGGAGCACGGATCTACCTATGTGGTCCCATTAAAGTGCATTTAAAACTCCAACATTGCTGTAGGAGAAACAGCGTTTCC